AATAATAATAATAATAATAATAATAATAATAATAATAATAATAATAACAATCTGACCTAAGCAGAAGTTGTGGGCTTGGTGCTGTGTGCACGGCTCGCTGTGACCCGTGTCTGAGCAGAAGCAGTCGGCTGAGTCCTCCCCGCCGCTGCACTCCTCGGAGGAGGACACCGACAGCGAGCGCCTCCGCGGCGGCGACAGCCCCTTGGAGAGCTCCTTGGTCCCGGAGCGCGGCTCATCGGACGGCGTGCCGAGGATCGACTGGATGGTGAAGCTGGAAACGGGGCCAGACGCGCACTTGCTCCCGCTGTCGTCTGCGCCACTCATTCTCGCTTCATAACAGAAGTGAAGGATTGACTGGATCGGAGTGTCCCGGTGGATTCCGTGATTGCTTTTCTGCGCGACTGGTGCGTAAAAATAACAAAAGCGCTTTTGTTTTTATTTTTTTTGGGGGGGGCGCTTTTCTTTCTCTTTTTCTTTTTCTTTTTTTTTTTTTAAACTCCAGCCTGGTTTAATTGTGGAGTTTAAACATTGCAGGAGTTGGAGGTGTTTTTTCCTAAAGCTCGGGGAACATGAGTGTATTCCTGGTCCTCCTCCTCACGCTCTGGATCCGAGGCAACAAGGTTGCGTTGCTTCATTTGCATGTAGGTAAGCTCCTCCTGGGCCAATGGGCGCTTCAGACAGAAGCCCGGAAATTTCAAATTCCTGTCAAGCTTTAGGAGACGGGAATGTGGAGAGGGAGAAGGGAAGAACTTTGGACTCAAATAGAAGCTTGTTATGAGATGCAATATGAGATTGTATATTCATGCTGCACCTGACCTTATTGTTGTTTGTTGTTGTTAATGTGCTTCCTGTTAGTTAGTCTGAGTCAGTTATGATCCAGATAAAAAATAAATAAATCTTGTTGGATTTTTTTTCTTCACCAAACTAACTGACGCACAAACCTAGATCAAATGTCTCACTTTTATTTATTTCTCATCCGCACAGAAAATAATAAACTCATTCCCAGTTCATCATCTACCATTAAGAATTAATCTGATCATTACTGAGCTAATCTGCCTGGTTATGACCGCGCGTGCAGGGGTGGAGGCCGGCTAAGTGATTGACTAATTGATTGGAGGTGGTGGAGGGCTGTGGGGAAGCTGAGGATGCGCGCTCATGAGTGTGTGCGTCCTGATTCACCCTCCCCTCCTCCGTGCTCACTTTGGATGCGTCTCTCTCTCCCTCCCTCTCTTGTGTCCGTCTGCGGGACAGCTGCGGGGGGTTCGGACACATTCTGTTTCACTGCTTAGTCACGATGCACAAACCCTCAGCAGCCATCAGTGCCGACATAACCTGAGCACTGAGTTAATTGTGAAGCGAGGCAGCCGCTCCTGACGATGACATCACATGCTGGCGTCATCAGATGCGCCTGGATCCGTGCGTAAAGTATCCTCAGCGACGCCAGCAGCTGCTAAACGGTCTTTGAAGGGGGGGGGGGGGGGGGGCATCAGTAACGGCGGGCGGGGGGGGGGGGGGGGGCGGGGAGGGGAGGAGGGGAGAGGAGGGGGTTAAATATATGAGGGCAGTGGGGCGGGTGCTGGATTTATGGTGGTTACACATAAGGCGTGAAATCTGCAATGACAGTTAAATGGGTTTATTTTCCATGCGTCTCTCCAGGCGCGTGCCGCCGTCACCGCTTTCCAGACGACTTGAACAAAGTGAGACAAGTTCATGAAGGAATGGTGGACACAACACTCTGCTGTTGTGTTGAAGATTACAGAGCACGTGCTGTTCATTCTATTAGTATGGAAATGATCATCCGCACACACCTCCTCGTGTCAGTGCGTCTCGGGGCCTAAAGAGAGGCCCCAAGCAGCAAGGAGCGGGCCTAAAAGTTCGCGCTCTATCACGATGATAGGTGGCGCGCGGCCGCCCTACCGCAATAACAGAACAAGATCTTTAGCAGGAGAGAAAGGTCTGAGAAAGACAGATGAAGTTATGAGGCGCTTTGATCCGGGAATCAAGCTTCGATAAATATTAAACAAAGAGCCCCTTTGCACGCGCGCGTATTATGATGTATGGCGTGTCCAAGTCTAGAATAAGGAAATTACCAGAGAAAATGATATCAATAAATTTTCTAAGTATAAACGTTGATTATGTTTCGATTTTCATTCAAGAAAGCGGGAGCTGCTCTTTTTTCAGTTCGTGTGCGCGTTCGTGCGCGTGCGTGCGTGTGTGCGAAAGAGAGGGAATAAGAGAGATAGAGAGAGAGCGTTGTAAACGAGAGCAGAGCACCCGAGCCCTGGAGGTGTACAATTTATGTAATCTGAGTGTGGAAATGAACTGCGTAATTTATTGGAAAACACAAAGTCAGGGAGATTGGATCAGCACGGCCTATCCAAGGGCTCCTATCCATCAAGTTCCAATTAACAACCTAACCATTGAGTTTTAATGGCTTTCCAATCTACTGCCCTGATAGACTCATCAATTCCTCGGGGAGAAATTAAGAAAATCGACCGCCCCTCGGCGTTTGGGTGTCATTCTTCACAGCAACTATATGTCAAATTAAAAACACAATTAAAATTTAAACTGTTCCAATCAGACGCTGCTCCGCAACCTATGTTTCACTTAATAGAACTTTGATGAAAATCTGATGCTCGCATTCAATCAGGAAAGCAAATGGCGCGGGAATAAAAACAAGATTTCCTCCACGAGAGTTGTCAGACGGAAATGGACTTGTTCGGAGTTTTGACGCAGACCGGCGTCACTTTTTGTCTGGCTTGTGATTACCAAAAAAAAAAAAAAAAAAGTTTTTTTTTGTGGTGGGGGGGGGCAGAGATTTCAAACATTTTTAATCAAGTTTATCCCAGTTTACCGGAAGCAACACGTGGTTAGAATAAACCTTTTAGAGCTGATATGAACATTACGCACGGTGTCCAGGCCACTTGTGGGGTTCCAAACTGGCACGTGGGGGGGAGGAGTAGCTGTGATATGGCTGAAAATTACCCATTCATGCTCTCCATTTGAATACAACCCGCTGAGCACCTTTTCCCTGTCAAGTCTTGTCCCCGTTCGTGTAAATGCGCCGTATCTGATTTTGGCCCCGCTCCCTTCACTCTCCCCCTTTTTTACATAAAGATGTCGCACAAATGGAAATTATTGAGTGGTAATGTGTATTTTTTTTTTTTTTTCAATTTATGCGCGCAAATCAAGGTCACGAGCAGCGCGCGAACGTTGCTCTTACTTGACGCAGCCGCAGACGCTCCCAGATCGATACGTGCCAGAGGAATAATGCCATACTAATCTATTCATTTGGTGGTAATGGGGCCGCGTTGAGTGTTCGTGGTAGGTGCGCGTCAATACTCTGCTGATCTGATGATATTTGAATGGAGCCTTTGTCTCTTGATGAGGTCATCATTGAGAGTTTATGCTGACTGATTAATTTCCAATAACTGTATTAGTCTAGATGAAAATGGCCTCAAAGGTTGTTTTGACTGAATAACGCACCTGCCTCTGAGCTGGGTTTACCCATCAACTCCTCTGTTCCGGTTTGACTTTCAGTCTAGATGGCCAGGCTTTCAGGAAACCGAAATAAACAAAACAGGGCCCAAGTATTTAAATGCACCAACTCGAACAGTTTTGCAGCAAATGCGTCAAACGACCATCACGCAGAGGCACACAACCATTCACTCTCTCAGCAGATGATTTAGTTTAACTTAACATGCGTGTTTTTGGTCTGTTGGAGGAAACATACCTGCAACCTTCTCTTTGTGAGGCAACAGCTCTAACCACTGCACCACCATGATGTTCCTTAAAAATGTTATCAAATGTATTTTAAAGTAATTTGCACTTTTAAACTCGATTATGCGCAACTCAGCGGATGCTCCTGTAAACTTAACCATGTGCACTTGTCTGAAATACATCATGGAGAGGAAAAATACTCAACATGCAGAAACATGAATATGATGTGGCTTATACCGTATATGTTTTTAATCTATACATCCTGTCGAACATCACCTCTGTCCCATCATGACTTTTGTTGTTGTTGTCTTTTTATTCTTTTTCATAAAAGTCTATGTATAAAGTTGAACCAACCTCAAAGGATTTTCACACTACGTATGTTCAAAAGTTTATCTTTAATATTAAAAGTATTTAGGATTATTAAAAAAATATTTAGTATTAGGTGATTACACCTGTAAATAATTAGATTCGACATCATGTCAAGACATTGTATAACAAAACAATATTTAATCATTTATCTTTAATTTAGAAAATTTATATATTTTTAAACACACATTAAACTAGATGAATATGTAGGATATACCTATATTGTTATTATTATTATTATTGTTATTATTATTATTATTATATTATTATTATTGTTGTTGTTATTATTATTATTGTTATATGAAAACCTTTGTAGCCAAGATAATATAATTTAAATTTACAGCCTTAAAACATCTTTGTCTTTCACTTAGATTTTAATAATAATTCTTTATTTAGAATTTTCCTCTGTGTTGTGTTTAACAAAGTAAAAAGCTCTCCATCTCTTCATCTATCTATCTATCTATCTATCTATCTATCTATCTATCTATCTATC